TATGAAAAGAAAATAAAAAATTTTTCTTGCTATTTTTTTGTAAAGTTGATAATACTTGAATAAAAAATTATTTATATAATAATATGTCCAATATTTTGGAATAAAACCAATATTTTGATATAATGGTGATTTTTAGTAATTCATATCTTGTTTAACCTTCTGACGACCGGCATGTTCTTAATTGACTTTTTTATTTTAAGAGCTAGAACTTTTTTGTCAATGTCATAAAGTTGAGTGGCGAAAAAGGTGGCGCCACTGTCGAGTCTTTAAAGGGGCCTCCAGTCCTTCAAACGTTAATTATTGCGAAAATTGCAAAATGGTAGAGGATTTTTCGACTCATTTTAGTCTGCTTTATTCTTCCCTGGTGAAAATTTTTCTTAGAATTTTTATACGAATTAAAACATTTTTCAGAAATATTCAGAAATAGTCGGAAAATTCACATCTTCTCTCAGAATTTTTCATACATGTGAATTTTGAAATATTCTGAAATTTTTTATCCCATAATTTTTAAAAAATATTTTGAAATTTTTTAGATTTTATAACATTTCATCAGAAATTATATTCAAAATTTTAGAAATCTTACGATATTCCATTAATTAATATATATTAATTTTTATATATTAATTAACATATATGAAAAATGCTGAGAAAAGACATAAATTTTTAGTGTTCCAATTCGTAATGAAAAATATAAGAAAATTATAAGGTAAATATTAATAATAACGAAAGCAGCTGCGATAACTTTAACATACCTATGTTATCAAGATCACGACCCTGAGTAACCTGCAATAGGTTTTAACTGTCCTTCGTTAAAAAGATATTAACAAAAAAAGTTTGAAAAAATAACGTTTTATTTCTGCTAAATATAATATTGAAAAATATCAGTAAATAACAATAATGTTAAATGAACATTGAATATCTATGTAGAATTATCTAACGATTCTAACGGATACAATTCGCTTATTATTTCGAAAAAACGTTCAATACGTTTGTCAAAAGTATGTAGTCTTTTGAACAAAAATTCAGCTATATAATGTTCATAATAATACTCTCTTGTACCAAAACGTGAAATATTAGCACGTAATTCCCGCCACAATCTCTCAATATTTTGTGTATGACTCCCTGTATTTGGATCTACAAAATTTTCGGAATAATTAACCACTCGATGAATATAGTTTTCATTTCGTAGAACATCATATCCACGCTAACAATCACTATGAATGATTGACTCTTGAGCAATGTGCTTTCGAATTAGTGATATTAATGGTTCAAAACGTCGATTTTCCAGGTATAATGAAAACATTTTTACTTTCACGTTCAATACCACCAAATATCCACTGTCCTTTCAAAATACGACCTTTATTAAACTTTCTTTTTCCAATTTTGACTTTATCTATTTCCACAATTTTGCCTGGTCCGCTAATTTGTTGTTCCTCTTTTTTCAACCAATTACATAGCAACTATAAAAAATAAAATAGCACAAAAATACATTTACATAATATAAATATGGAAATACATTTACATAATATAAATATGAATATGCTATATAAATATTAATTTACTTCTGTACAAAAATTTGTTCAATCAACGACGGTTGGATCGCTAATATTCAATGCACTACATAAATGATTGTCGTGTTCTAATTATTACAAAATAAGCAATAAATCGATATTGTTATTATATTCATATGAGCTTTAGAAAACCATGTACTGTGTAATATACTTATTTTAAAGTTACACATTTTTCGTTATCGTTTTCTTCCACGTTACAGTTTTATAATATATATGACTACAGTGCAAAATTAAATTTTCATATACATCATTTGGATATGTTAAGATATTTTCACATTTCGAACATTGAACTTCCCCGAATTACTTTTTTACTTATCAAATATTCCATCAAACTGTCCAAATTATGTGTTACGTGCAAAAATTCATGAAGATGCATAATACAATCAATATATACTATCACTTGTACAAATATATTCAGAATGAGAAGTAGTAACTGTATGCTTCCTGTTTGAAGAACTGAATAAGATTGTACGATCAAAATTTGTAAATACAAATGCGATGGCTACTAAAACAAGTGAACAATATAATCATGTGAAATAGTACAATACATTGAGTCATGCACCCCTTTGCAGTGAGGGGAGAGGGATGAGAGTCGAAAGTGGGCCCGTAAAGCAGGGGGGGGGGTGAGAGTCGTGCGCTTCTAAAACAGAGGGGAGAAAGGGTGAGAGTCGGAGGTGAGAGTCCGAAGTGAGAGTCGTGCGCTCCTGAAGCAGGGGTAGGAGGAGTGAGAGTCGGAGATGAGAGTCGTGTGTTCCTGAAGGTTAACTTTGTAGAAACGCTGAGTCACTGCTTTAAAAACACAAATTCACTACTTTACAAACACATTCACTGCTTTACAAAGCAGAGAAAGGGAGGTGAGAGTTGCTTTGCGTAGAAAGTCCTTACGTAAGCAAAGAAGGGTATAGAATAGCTTTTAATATTATATAAAGCAGGAATAAATCGTTATTTTTTCAAATTTTTTTTGTTGATAACTTTTTAACGAAGAACGAGTGACGGCTAAAATCTGTTGGAGATTACTCAGGGTCATGACCTTGACAACATATGTCAAGATCAAGGTTATCAGAGCTATTTCCGTTATTATTAATATTAATCAATTATAAAATTATATATAAATTCTAAAAAATTATATGAAAAATTCTGAAAAAAAATTTTTACCAGGGCTATACGAGAGTTTTATCGTTACTTATCAAACATCCTGCATACAGTATATATTTACATACATAGGTATTTATATATAATACAATATTTATACTCTCACGTCTAAGCTCATACATATATAATATTAGAAGTCCTGTTCAATTTAAAAAAAATTGAAATTGCTTTAAAGTCTTTTAAAGCTTGAAATCTCTATTATTCAGATTAGTACTTTAGAAAGTCTTACTGGTATTTTATGAAATTACACAAACATAAACAAAGATGCATAAAATCTCAAAATTTTTTATGAAATTTGTGAAGTTTTACGATGCCAATTAAAAATTGAGCACAAATAGGGTTTACAGCTATCGAAAGAGTGAATCTTTACTTTTAATTTGTTTTTTTATAGGTCTCTATGCGATTTTTTTTACCGAGTTATTCAATGTTGAAGCAAAAACGACCCTTTTTTAGAAATTGATCGGTCTTCATTACTCGGGAGAATGGAGGGGGGAGGGACTTCAAGAATTATCAAACACCTCTATGGAGAGTATCCTTGCTAAAGTAAATACTTTCAGCAAACTCAGGTCTTCCCTAGCCAAGAAACTATCAAACTTGGCATTCCTAAAACGCTGTAGGGATAATAACATCATCCCTACAACTCAAAGTTTCTACAACTCAAAGACCACCTAGAAACTCATAAATTCAAAAACATTCTTCATAAAACCAGCCTGATTCTCATCAAGGAACGCATCCACTTCACTAAGTCACAAATAGCCCAGATCTCTCATAAAATCTTTAAACTCTACCTGTTTCTATCCGCCACGTTGCGGCATGACATCTGGCAAACTCTAGATCGTATTACATATGAACAAGCCATGAAGACTCACATAATCCTCTGAAAGACAGAAACAGAAATACAATACATAAACCTTATCCTTTACAAAAATCCACAACCTTCTCTACTTAACGTCAAGAACCTATCTAACAGAGACCTGTCTCAAGACACTATATCTGCGCTTGTCAAAGGTCTAAACTTCGCAGTGACATCTAAAAAGGTTCCAAAGGAAGAGATTATCAATCAAATACAGTCAACTATCTACCGACTCTCATCAGAACAAACAGATAACATCCGCAGACAGGTAACCAATATCCTTTCCAAAGTCAAACCTCCTCCACCAAACATCAGACAAGAACGATTGGCCCTCTGAGGGGCCAAGACCTGAACAGAGACACAGACATCATTGTGCGTCTAGCCGACAAAGGCAATACGAGTGGTTATGAACACATTAGACTATAAGAAAAAGATGAAGAATCTTCTTTCGGACAAAGCATTCAAAAAGCATATAAAGCAAAAAGTTTGACAAAGATTCAACTAATACAATCGCACAGAACACTAAGATCCTAGTGAAGAAAAGCAACATTCTCAGTAAAACCATATCAACATTAAACCTATAAATTCTCTTCCACCAAGACTATACGGACTACTAAAAGTACACACACCAAACATCTCCCTCAGACCGATTGTCAGCGCCATACACTCCTTGACATACAACTTATTCCGCTTCCTAGCACAAATATTACAACCTTTCTCTTTGGAAAATCCAGATCACACATAATTCAACGGACTTCATACAAAAGATTCAAAAAATCTTACTACATCCCACAGATCTGCTTGTAAGTTGCGACGTAGAATCCCTTTTCATATAAATCTCAATGAAAAACACATTAAACATAATAAAGACCTCACATAAAGTCTCCTCCGATCTTATCCGACCTTATAATAGAGCAGTGCTTAATAACCACTTACTTTTTCTGTAACAAACAATTTTATGAACAAACTTCAGGAGCGACGATGGGTTATCCTATTTCTCCTGTAATCGCCAACATCTTAGAGCATTTTGAGAAAGAAGTCCTCAGAAAAACACCCAAAAAATCAGAAGTTCGATTCCGTTATGTAGACGATACATTCGTGATGTGAAGACACAGCAGAGCCGAACTCCGTAAATTCTTTATTTTTCTCAACAATTAACATCCAAATATCCACTTCACTATAGATATAGAGGAAAACTCCCCTTCTTAAATGTTCTTGTCTCTAAGAAAGCTGACGATACCTTAGGCCATTAAGTGTACAGAAATCCAACACACACAGATAGATACTCACATGCCGAGTTGCACTACCCAGCATAAAAACAATCAGCAATCAACTCACTTGTACATAGACCATCTCTGATAAAGAACATCTACAGACAGAACTCAATCACCTAAAACTAACCTTACAGAAAAATGGACACGACAGAAAAGACATAACCAAAATAATCAATAAACATGTAAACAAGACAACGGTGTCTGATATACAACCAGACGAAAGGATCCTATCCATTCTCTCATATATCAAAGGAATAATAGATTGGCAGGATATTAAACAAACACAATATCGGAATTATCTTCAAACCAAAAAGATAGGACAAATCTTAAGAAATTCTAAAGATCAAAGACCTCCACTCAGCTCCGCAGGAGTATACAGAATACCTTATTCCTGCAGTAAACATTGGAGAAACCGGGGGAATGGTCAAACTATGGATAAAAAAACACCAACGTGATGTCAGGCTAAAACACATCACGCAATCAATATTATTAGAACACAACATCGAAACAGGACATCAAATATTGTTTGACAAAACGATCACAATAGCCAACATTACATCATACTTTCCAAGAAAGTCTAGAGAAGCCATAGAGATACAAAAATACCGTAACAATCTAAATAGAGATAATGGCTACAACATAAAATAAAATATGGAAAATCATTCTCCCGGTTGAAGGGAGAATGATTGAAGACCAATTCCCCCTCCCCCCCTCATCCATAATTCTTTTCTTTTCCCCCACCACTCCAACAAGTAGCGTAATATAAAAGGAACGGAGGAACAGCTCAACATCAGGCTGCTCCTCGCCCTGATGAAGTGGACTGCAAGATTCACGAAACGTTGGCATTCGAAGAATGAATCTGAACAGAAAGGAAACTCGCGAAACGCATAATCTTTATGTGTAGAAAGCACCCGTGGAAGCCTCGAGAATATTATTGATTACTTATATAGCTTGCAAGAGAGCATTATTCGACCATCGAATTCCTGCAAACGGAAGACAAAATTTAAAAAAAAACGAACATAGTGGCAAGAAGTATGTAACCTAATAGGAAGTTAGTCTAAAAATCTTATCCAAGCAAAACTGCAGAAGTCAGTGATAATTGATTAAAATTATGTATACATGTATTAATCTTTTATTTTGGTAATTTTTTCTACTTATTAATTTTAAGTGTAGATGATGCAAAGCAAAGATGGAGGTATCCATCCGTGATTGTTATATGAAGGCAAAAAAAAAAAAGAATACGAATATGTCCCAAGTAGGTCTGCAGCTGATGTGTTTTTAATAAATAATTTAAAAATATTACATTTAATAAATAATTTAAAAATATTACAATAGCAGATAAACAACCATACTATTGTTATATTGTATGTACAGGGTTGGCCATATTCGACGGAAAGATGTGGCAACACTGTAACTTTTGACAGAGATGTTAGATCGAGTAACGACGTAGCGCGTTTGAAGCGTCAGTCGAAGGAAATTTGTGCCATGGAACAGTACACGCCACGCGAACGCTCTCAGATTGTTGAAATTTACATTCAACAAAACAAGTCAATTGTTAAAACTCAACGTGCATGGAGAAAAATAAAT